CTCTCCTTCAGCCCGCCTTGCGGAGCTTTAGCGGGAAGGGGTGGTTTGGCTCAAAGCCTGCTGACGAAGCCGTGCGAGAGGAGCACGCCGCCACCTCAGAAAGTTGGAGGAGGAGGAGGAGGAGGAGGAGGAGGAGGAGGTGCACAGCGATGTAGCCCTGGGCGGCGGGTCGGGGAAGGCAGCGAAACCCCTCACCGGTCTGATTGCAGAGCATGGGCTAAAAACTATGCTCCTCTCTCGTATCGAAAATCCTTGTTTTCTACTGTTTCTGTTTGTCTTCCAAACAATATTTATCCTGATACTCTACCGAGGTGGACCTTCAAATGTGTTTCGTGGGTTTTTAGACTCGCATCAGGTTCTGGATTACTCAAAAACTCATGATGTGTATACAAACCTCAGCTTGTTTACTCAGGCTCCTAGTGAAGAAGCTATGCCGTACTGCTCCGCGCAGTCACCGATATTTGGTGGGTATGAACCAATAGTGTCTGAAATAACTGCTTTAGTAGGTGATAATGCTGAACGCTTTGTAAATGTAAGTTGTGTATTTTTCAAACTTTTCCTCTTTAAAAGTGATGTACTGTTGTAATACTTGCACGGGTAAAATTTTCTTGTGTTAATTAACTCATTTTTATTGGGTATACGAGGAAATGTATTTTACTGATCCAAAAACTTCCAATATTAAGGATTTGGCTGCATAAAGATTGTACAGCAAGAGTGAAAACAGTGCATGGTGTTAATACCAAGCTAGTAACACTTTTTTTTTTTTCCCTTGGCAGTCCTGTATAAATGTGCCAATGATTGTACTTTGGTAACTGCATAATTTTGACCTGTCGCTCACTGTAACTCCTGGTGGTTTTTTTTTGTCTCAGCCTGTAGTTTGATATAAATTGATGAAGTTGGCTCTAAATATTGTTTGTATGAGAATGTAGCTTGGCACCTTGCTCTTCATGGTGATCTTTTTGGCCTATGACCATTATACATCCTTTAGACTTAGAAACTTCTCCTTTAGACTTAAAAGTCTGGTCACAGGTTAATTTGTATTTACACTAGGACCAAATTAGAGCTGATCCTAGAGGCAGTATTCCTCTAGCTGCTGCACTACTAAAATACAAACCCATAAGGCAAGTTTGTTGGTAGTGAAGTGGTGCACCTCTGGTAATAGTGAATCGGTTCGACTCAGCCAGCCAGGAATGGATGAGTTCTGTAAGCACGCACTTCCAGCTGGTTTGGGCATGCCTACTTCTTAGACTACTGTGTAGTACGTTACCCTTGTCTGGTTTTCTGTACTGCACAGGTTTCTGCATATCTAAGTCTTGCATACAACTACTCTTGGAGCACTACTTAGTAGTTGCCCTGCTGTTCTAGGAAAGCTGATCACCGCATGTGGAGCACAGTAAGAGCAAATGGCAGACCTTGATTCACAGGTGGAAGCGTTGTGGAAAGCCAGTGCTGTGGTTACTCTTGTGTCAGCTGCTTATTTTGGTTAGAGAACTCTGCTGGGACACTTTGGATGAGCCTGTTTAGACCAGTCGTCATAATGATGCTTGTTCTTTTGGGAAGTTTCTTCCTTCCTCTGTTGCTGAAGTTAAATTAAATACATGCAGTGTGTATGATGAAATTGTATGATAACTTTTGGGTGTATGCTTCAATGTTCCCTTAGAAACAGCTCTACTAAGTAAATACTGGAATAGTAATACAGAACGTTTTTGCACAGGTGCCAGTAGTAATGGTCTTACTGCAGTCTCTGTTCATCACTAGCTACAGGCCATCAGTTCTTTTGGGAAGCTAGAATTCTGTGTTTCAGACTTAATTGCTTTATTTGAAAAAGCACAGCAGAAATGTGCCTGCGCCCTGCTTGTCTCCACCACTGATGAGAATCTGCTGTCCTGAAAAGAGTCAAATGAGAAAGCTTTGGTCTCAAAAAAACAAAACAAAAAAACCAAACAAAAAACCCCAAACCCAAAAACCAAACAACACTAGGTGCCATCCTGTGCTGCTTGCCACCAAACCATCAGATAAGCAAGAGTAGTGATGTGTATGGAGGAGGCAGATGCAGAGTAAAATTACATTAATCGGTGCAAAATTACATTCAATGTTTTTAAGACCTCTTCTGCCCATCCCTGAATGTACTGAGAACAGAGGGCGTTGGCCTATATGTGGTACTTCAGAGCTAAAATAGAAACATAGTGTTATAGACAGAAACAGTAAGTTGTCTGGGAGACAAAAAATGTGAGGCAAAGTAATTGTGGAAGTTTTGCTGCATAAAGAATTAAAGTTGAGCATATGAAGCATTGTTGCTGTGAAACACAAATTGTTTGGAGCATTAATACAGATTCAGCTTGAGGAAAAATGAGCACTCTGCTACAACTTTTACTTGGTGATATTTCCCTTTAAGTCTAAGAAGTAAACTATTCCTTCTGGCATTACTGTATGCCAACTTCTTCTGGGTGTTCTTTTGTTCTGTTTTTCATCTGAGAAATGTGTGCTACTCTGCAAAGTAGTTGCCCTTTGTTTTGTATGTGATGGTCACATGTGAATAGATACATAAATACTTAATAAATGTCTTGATTGGTTGTTATAATCTTCTCCCATGGGACTGATCTCTCTTGGAAGAATTATATCGGAGAGAATGATGCCTTTTAGTACTAATTTCATGAACTCCATTAAATGAGATTTCAAATCAATTCCTGAGGACTAGTCTCCAAGTCAGAGCTAGTAATAAGGCGCTGTGTCCACTCCAAAGCATGTTAAAGTAACTGGAAGAATGCCAGATAGCTTAAATGGTTTCTGCATCAGGGCTTTTATGAAGTGCAGTGCTTTTTCCACTTACATATATAGTAGATAATTTTGGAAACTGTTTGAATGTAAGATCAGCTTGCAGCTCATCTGTCTTTTTCCTGCCTCCTGAATCTACAGCATCTTTGTTCTTCCAGGGCTGTGGAGTAAGACTTAAAGTATAATTGCTAAACACCTCTTGGTGACTAACGTTACTTTTTTAATGATTAGTGGTGTCTATTGAACCTTTTGTGACCAACAACTTGAAAAGCATTGTACTAGATTTTCAGTGTCTTCATTAATATTGTGAATAAATTACTCGAGTTCCCTGAAAGGTTAAAGTTTCTACACAGAGTACCAGTTGACCTGTTTCCTCCTCCTTTGTTTTTGGAAAAAGCAAAGTGTTTATATGCTAGAGTTATGCTTATTCAATCTTAACAAAGTAGCATTTAAATTCAAAATCTGACTTTCTCACATTGCACACAAGATTTGTTGTTTTCAGTTAATCTTTTCCTCTTACCAGGAAGAAGCTTGATGCTAGAAGACTCAGTTTGTGGGTTTTTTTGGTTTGGTTTTGTTTTGTTTTTTAAAGAGGTACCTTTATGCATTGTATGTGCCGAACGAGTTGGTTTGGCCCTTGAGGACTTTTAATAGTTGAAAGTTCTGTCTGTAACTCTGCTGTTTTTAATTTGGTCATGCTATGGAAGAGGGTTTTTTTCCAAGCACTTCTTGTAGTAGTTACTCCCTTTCACTCCCATCTGTCATAACCTTTTCATGAGTGTGACCATCTGTTGTGGTAATGAGAAGCTCCTGCTTTGTTTTCGAATGGATGCTCTCCTACTAGAATTTCTTCTCTTGAATTTAAAGAGGAGTAAAAAGGTGATAATGCTGAGATTTATTTTCAGGTGCTGTTGAAACAGCCTTGTATTCTGTCATTAGAAACTGGTACTTAAATTAAGGTTGTTGGTTTGCTTTTTGTGTCTTTGTTCTTTCATTCGAACAGTGGTAGAATTACACAAATCTGACTCTGTTAATATACTGTGTGGTGCTGCACTTTCTCAGTGAGGTATTCGTCCATGCTACTGTTCCCATTTGTTTAGCTCCTGTAAGTTCTGCTTATTCTGATTGAACTCAGTAGTTACAGCTGCTAACTCTGAATGTGTAGCAAGGAGTTTAGAAGTCATGGAGTTTCTTAAGATGGGATAGATCTGGTCAAAATCAATAGATACCCCGATAGTCAAATGAGGTATTCGTCCATGCTACTGTTACCATTTGTTTAGCTCCTGTAAGTTCTGCTTATTCTGATTGAACTCAGTAGTTACAGCTGCTAACTCTGAATGTGTAGCATGGAGTTTCTTAAGATGGAATAGATCTGGTCAAAATCAATAGATACCCCGATAGTCAAATGTGTTGCCTAGAAGGTAGAGCAAGCCGGGATTACGTGGTCACTGGCACCAGCTAACAATACAGACAGGGAATTGCAAGTTTTAATTCCACACACTAAAGGTTTGTATTAAACAAACACCCTCCGTGTGGTGGTGCAGGCACAGAAGGAGCTTAGGAACAAGGCTACAGAGAAACTGGACACTTCAGGGTGTTGATTCTGTACCTTGTCTGAATTGGGGTCCTGAGCTTTCTAGCATGTTTAAGACGGGTTTTTCCTCCTTTCACAAAGCTGCGCTTTAGCAGTTTTATTTTTCTCTACTTGGTCCAGCCTGCAACTGCTCTGTTCACATCTGGGATTTAATCAGATTACAGTGCGTTATCCTTTTGTTAGTTGGGCAGGAAGGAGACCTGAGAGCCAGAATTGATCTTGTAGCCAAGGACTGTAGGGCAGCCACAGGTTTCGGGGGTGTAAGCCACAGACTAACTTTTTTTCTGTATTTCCTTGGCATATACTAGATTGAGTTTCTGAGCTTTTTGAGGTATGGAGCCAAGCAGCTTGGGAGAACATGACATCTTGAAAAACCTGAAAAATGCAGGTATTACCCTCATGGATCATATGCTTGGGTATGGAAAGAGACAACAGGAGTGAAACTACTGCATGTTATCTTAGTCATACACTTATGTCCAAATTTAGATCAGATTTTTTGGAATTTAAGGATTATTGCTACACAATCTTACTCTGCAATACAGAGTGTCCCAATTGTACTATAGAAAACAAAACCCTGCCTTTGTGGGAGAACAAAAGGGATTAATTCCCTTTCTTATATTTTCCTTGGAGCAATGATCTGTAGTTGAAATCCAATCTGAATATAATATATCTTTAGCAAGCTCCAGTTGTCATCAAATCAGTGGTTAATGGTGCTTTAGTTAAAAGATCTGATAATCAGGGAGTTCTTAAATCTAAAAAGCAACATTAACTACAGGTTAAAAAGAGTGTTGGACTGGAATGTAGTGGTCTTAAAGGCAGAAAAGGAAACTGTCTGCATAGAAGTAGGTAATAACATCATAAAATCTTAAGCGTAAATGTGACCTAGATTCATGGGCCCACAGCATGATTCTCTGAAGAACTACTCTTCTGTTTCTCATCCAAAGGCATGGCAGTGTACTCCAGTTTCCTACTGAGAGTCATGCAGTCAAAATCAAATTCCCCCTACCTTTTAGATACTTTGCCAAGGACTGAGAAGTGGTACTTAAGAGTCAGCTATTGCAAGATCTTGCTGACAAGCAAAATTCAGGTTTTGCTTTTTTTAAAAAAAAAAAACAAAACAAAGCAAACCAAAACGAACTAACAAAAACAAACCATTAAGTGGGATTCACAGCAGCTAGACCTTTTTAACAGTGTGAGGAATGGGATCAGTGGCTATTCAGACCAGCCTTTAGGAAATGCCATTATGTGTGTTCCTTGAAGAAAAAAAGGAGTCACTCACTGAGTATAGGGTTGCCTGTCAGAAATGTGAGGTATACCAACTTCTGTATACTAGCAAAATGTTTCCCAGTTCTGGATGGATAGCTTGGTTCTTATACTAAATTTCCTCCTTAAGCCTTGTTAGTATTCAAAAAAAAAAACCCAACCCAAAAAACAGTGGAAGGATGTTGCTTCCTTCTGAGTCAGTTAAACAGGATGTGGGTCAATGCATGCTCAATTTTTTTCGTTAGAATTGTAGCAGAGACTTGAATGTAGGATGGGCTGGAAGAAGTATCTTCTGGACTTGCCTGCTTAAATACCTGATTAGACTTAAGACACACACCTACCTTTCCCTGCTCAAATCAAAGCTACTAAACACCATGACTAAATATTTGCTCTTTCTCTCTCAGGCTTCCTTATCAGAAGTTTTTTGAGAGAATAATTTATTTCAGTGGTTTAAGAGGGAGTCTGACTTACAAGATACTGAAAACTTGCTTTAAGACAGCCATAACATTAACTATGAGCTTGGAAGGAAAAAAAAAAAAATCTCATTTATAGCCATTTAAAATACAAACCCAAAAAACCCAAAAACTTGCCTCACAGGCTTCTGGTGCAAGGAAATATTTTGGTTTTGGGTAGCATGGCCTGCAGAGAATTGTTGGTCCTATTTAAAACTGTTACTTGAAATTGTCAGCTTTTACTTGTGACTTAGGTGAAGGTTTCTTCCTAGTTCATTTAAATAATAGATTTTAATCTTGTTCTGCATTTGTGCTTTATTTTCTTAAAGTTGACAGTGGTTGGAAACCATTCAGACACACTGATTTGTGTATAAATATAACTCTTCTGCTAGTTCTGGAACCTTTTCTCACTACCTAGAAGGACAGGCATTTAAATAATTGTAGAATTTGTTTATTCATATTGTAACAATATAAGACTTGTGTTAAAATGATGATTGGCACTTGATATCGATTCTTTTTTACTTGTGAAGCTTTTTCCATCTGAAGAATGGAAGAATTCATGTAAAAATGAAGAATTTTTTTTATTAGGTAAAAACTGTTGAATATATCCAGTATGTTTTGGATTTAAAATCGAGATGCTGAGTAGAGGAACTATCATATGTAGTTTCTTTTGCTACTCTGTACCTGTTCCTGAAAATGTAACATCTGTCTTCCTTCTCAGTTCTCTCATCTGTTTCTCCCAAAAGTTTGAAGTACTGCCTGCTTATCACAGTGTATATAATTAAATAATATAGCAAATACAGCCCTTGTGGCATGTGATTATAACACAAAATTGAACTTGAAACTTTTTTTAAGATAAAGCTAACATTTCCTAAAGAGTTTAAAGCCTGGATGAATACAAACATTTTTAAGATAAAGCTAACATTTCCTAAAGTGTTTGTATTCATCCAGGCTTTAAACTGTTTCTCCCCCCACCTGCTGAATATCATTTCAGACATCTTTGTCCTTGAAACTCCTCTGAAAGAGCCTTAGAGACTTTTTTGGATATGGATAGCAAAAGCATATATGTCTGTTCATCTTGATTAATTTTCAGCACTCTTCTTACAGTGAATACATTTATTCAAGGACCCCATCTAAGCGACACAAGACAGAAGGTTTGCTTCTGTAGCAGGGAGGCAATACCAGGAAAAAGCAAGCTGTGCAGGCGCCTGGTGAGACTTGCTGACTGTGCTGGGACTCGGGGTGCCTCTGGCAGGTAGCCTGCCGTCCTGGGGCTGAGCATGGTGACCAGCAGGCACTGATGGAATTCATCATGTGGGCACATCTGTGTGGCGGTGTTAACTGTTTTGTGGTAGGGCCGGTGTCTTAAGTAGTAAACATATGTAGCTAATCTGATAGGTTTAAATGAAGGTTGAGAAACATCACTGATCTTACTTTTTTTTCTTTTTTCTGTCTCCTTACAGTTGGGCCATTAACCATCACCTTCAGGGTGCTCCCTAGTGAAAGAGTGATCATCAAAAAAAATCCTTTTGTTCAGTCTGGTGGCCATTACAGGCCACCTCACTGCTTGGCCCGCTACAAATCGGCGATCCTTGTAGCCTACAGGAACCAGGAGAAGTACCTTCACCATCTTCTCTACTATATTCATCCTTTCTTGCAGCGCCAGCAGCTCAGTTACAGTATTTACTTGATTCAGCAGGTAAATCTAAATCAAATGTGCCTGGTGGTGTACCTGGGCTTCCCAGTTAAGGGTTAGGTTTTGAACAAGACATGTGAATCTGCTAATGTGGAAGTATCGTTTTATGCATGGGTTGAAAGGAGGTCAGTTATATGCTGTCCCATCTCCATGGCTGCTAATGATTGAAATATCGTACTGCTTGTCGAGATCATCATTCTGCCATTGATTGGTTCTGCTTTTTTTTCTTCTAGAGGGATAAAGTTGTCATTAAGTGTTAACTTGTATTTTCAACTGTTCAGGAGTTAAATGTGATTTGTCTGTAGCTTGTCAGTGTGGCTGCTGAGCAAAGCTGTTGAGACTAAATGCTAAAGTGAAGTTGGATATTTTTAGTCTATCAGATAAAAACATCTGGCTTGACCGTGCTGTGGCACAGCCTGTGCAGGTCAGACAGCCATTTTTAACCGACAGGGACTGGTGTTACAAAAGATCAGTGGTGAGAGAGCAAGTTTTGGATTCGTTAATTAAAACTGATAGTTGATTGGGAGGAAAAAGAAGCTTTTTTTGTTCGACCAAGATCTTTTTTTTCCTCATTTCTAAGCTTTAACGAGCAGTCATCAGGGCAAAAGTGTTGATGTGCAGATGTACACTTGAGGATTGACTTACTGGTCTCTTAAAAGTCAGCCTTCATCAGGTGCCCATGGTGTAGTGCCCCTGACACAACTAAGCTTACAATTGTTGAGAATATTGTGAAGAGCATGGGTGAAATTTTCAGTCTGGGGCATGAAATTTGCAGCCAGTATTGATTCGTTCCAGTGTCATTCAATTGAATATGGCTTTTTTACTAACATAGATTTTAACTGAGTTACCATCTTTGTTGTTTTGGTGAAGAGATGTAGGTTTTCTTTTCCAGGTGGGGAATGGTACATTTAACCGAGCAAAGCTGCTTAATGTTGGTGTCCGGGAAGCCCTGAAGGATGAAGACTGGGACTGCCTTCTCCTGCACGATGTCGACCTAGTACCTGAGAATGATTATAATCTCTATGTTTGTGATGAATACTATCCCAAGCATATGGCTAGTGCCATGGATAAGTTTCAGTACACGTAAGTGCCTCCATTTGCTTTGGATGTATGTATTCTGATTGGTTCACCTTCTGCATAAAAGTATGAATGGGGACAGTGAAAGACACAACCTTTAAGAGGCTTTCTGTTTTTTAGTTTTGTAGTAGTGAGTTCCCCAGAAAAGCATATTCTTGACCTAAGCATGTGATCTTGAACAGTTCCTTGCCTGCAGTTCCATGTTCCACTGTTAGCTCAGCTTGGCAAATAACTGGCAGATTTCTGTTTGCCTTTCCTTCCAGAATAAAATATCGGGTGGGAATTATTGGATCATGTGGAAGATGTGTGATAGGATGCAGGTATTTTTTAACTGATCCAAGATGTGAATTTCAAAACCAGCTTTACTTTGGTCTACTGGGGAGGAAGGTGGGGGAAACATGATAGGAATTACACTGGCTTTGCTATTTTGGCTTTTGGCATTGTAATGACAGTGTCTGTAAGGTATGAGATTAATATATGTGTGACTTGGATCATGTTGTTAGTTTGTGGAAGACTGGTATTAGCCTTCAATATTGATGCGTGTGTATGTGTTTGTTTTTTTCCCCTTTCTCTTTTAGTCTGCCATATAAGTCCTTCTTTGGGGGCGTATCTGCCCTAACTCCAGAACATTACATGAAGATGAATGGGTTTCCAAACACGTACTGGGACAGCGGTGGTGAAAATGATGACATTGCTACAAGGTACTCATGCACAGGACAGGCTTAAAATAAACTAAGCTGCCTAGTGAAACATGTAGCGTTACCCTAAGAAAGGAACTAAGAAGTTGTTCCTTAACATGCTTGCAGTAAGTATCATTATAATCCAAAATGCTGTTGGCGTTGGGAATGGTTAATGTCAGAAGATGCTCAGAATCTATGAATCCAATCATTGTGTGCTGGGAGGACAAAGCTTTCCTCAGACTCTGGAGGGTGGAATGTTATTCACATCCTTGTGCCTTCAGTTGCTCTGGAGTGTGTCCAAGGGGTTATAACGACCAGTAGTTGACAAGTGACTCCATTGACATTAACAGCCCCAAGGGAAGGAAGGAGTCTGTGAGCTTGATGAGTAAGAAAACCAAGAAGGTACTTACTAATTCTGAGACAGCTGAGAATTAAAGTTACTTTAAGTGCATCCAGGGTACTCCAAGTATTACCTAATCACCAATACTTGGAATTAAGGAACACAAGGAATTCTGTCTTTAGTGCTGGATGATGGAGAAGCCTGTGTACTATTGTGAGTCAGTGACAGCAAGATCTGATGGTGTTTTTCTTGTACTTTAGTTGCCATGGCAGCAGCATGCTATAGAAGTGAATACAAAGAGTTTATTTCCAGGTACTCTGCCTAATGCAAATTCTTTGAGTACAAAGTCATGGCTGTAGCTTCTTTATTCAGCTTTGTAGTTGCACTGTGCACCTTCATCCTGCACTGAGGCAAGCTCATGGAGAGTTTATAAAACTAAACTGACAATAAAGGCCTTGTGTGGTTTTTGTGTGGTGGTTTTTGGTGTTGTTTTTTTTAATCTTGCACAGTGTGACAAGTTACACGGTTTTAGTGGAATGTTCTGTTCAAGGACTGTAGGAGTTTTTTACGAAGCAGTATTCTTCTGGGAATTGAAAGTAGATTTTCTAACATAGATTTTCTCCTTTTCTTTTCAGAGAAAGCTAACTAAAAGGGTGTACGATTGTTTAGAGAGTCAGCATTTACTAAAGGAATGGAATACCAGGAAAATAGATCTTTACATCAAACGCTACAATGCTGGGTCTATTCAGCTGTTCTTCGTACAGCTTAGGCATCTAACGTGGCTTTCAGTAGCAGTGGTAAAGAGTCATGCCAGTTATGCATAGGAGTGCACGTCCTTACAGAAATCTCTTAAGGCAAGTAGGTTATGTAGATCCCAAAATAGCCCTTTCTTGAAGGGAAGTAAATCATGTGTTGTTTCTCTGAAAAATTATACTAGTGACTTGCAGTGTTCTGGGCCATAGATACATGGAGGTCACGGACAGTGCCTGTTAATGATTTATTCACATACTGAAGGCTCAACCTGCAGAAGTTAGGAATGAGCTGGCTGTTTTTGAATGGCCAGTTTGATGGACCTAATGGGATTTGGATTTTAGGAGATGCTCAAGTACTTCTTACCATGTAGCAATAAAAATTAATTAGTATTTGCAATTGGATGTTGAAATGGCCAAAAAAAAAATCGTATGTGAAGAATTTCATTTTTTTTTCTGGGATACTGCTTACTAAAGCAGAGCTAGTGAAAAAACATGCTGGCTGCTACTTGTAGTTGGCAGTCTGCAGTACTCTCTAATATTAGAGTCCGAGCAAACACCAGAATCTCTCTTTTATTATTTTTTTATTATTTAGAAGAAAACACTACTCTAATTGGAACCACTTATGTGTTAACATCATCAACTACAGGAAAGTCTGTTGGGTTCTTCTTAACAGTAAATGAATGTCTTAACTGTTTCATATTATGGTTTTAGTTTATCTTGCAGTGCCAAAAACTAACAGCAAAGCTAGTGTTCTTGCTTTTTCTCGACTTGATTGAATGTGCAGTAAGCTCATGCTCAGAAAACAGGAAACCTTGTCTAAAAGTCAGTCTGAAATAATAGTATGTCATACTGTCACTGAAGCGTTGTAATCACTTGATGGCTCTAGACTAACAAATATTTTCAGTTCTGCAGGCTCTTTCAGCTTTATAACATTCCTGTGCTCCACTGCAGCTTGCTGCTGTACCAGATCTCAACAGAAGGCAATCAAACATTGCAAACATGCCAGTTAGATAACCTCAATTGAGCAAGCATTCATTCTTACATCCACAGGAATTTTCTCTGCATAAGAGCTGCCCTGTGATAATGGAGGTTTGCTAGCCAGAGCACTATTACAGGCACTTTTTTTTTTGTAAACTAACATAGATTGCCATCAGCAATGAGTTGCTTGAAAGTCACCCAAAATGCTGTTTTTAGGAGCTCTGTTTGGGAATTCTGAACCATCAGTTACTTTGTTCTTATCTAACTGTCCTGCAGCTGAGCAGCTCACATTTGTGTGTCTGGTGCCTGTATTTATCACTAAGCTTTTATGAAGCCAGTCCTCTAATCAGGCTATCTGAATGAATGCCACTTCTCAAAGAACAGAGAGGCTTAATCTGGATTTGAAACTCAGGACTGGCTTCCTTTCAGAAACTGCAAGTTTCAGTGTGTTGGGGTTTTTTTTTAAGTTGAGGTGATGGACCTCTAGGCAGTAAAATCTCTGCTCTTACAAGGAAGTGAAAATAATGTTCAATTGTCAAGATTCATGGGAATTGCTCTTGAATGTTCTGTATGCTGTTGTTCATTCCCTGCTTGCTATAATCCTCTTTGTACTCTGTTGAAGTGCACTGCAGCTGGGAGCTTTCTAGCCCAAGCCTGGTTAGAACCTGCTAGAGAAGATCATGTGGCACCGTGGTGTTAAACTTGCTCCCTTCAGCTTCTGCATTTTGCTTTTATTGTATTAACACTGAAAAGCATCTCTGACCTTGAACTTCCCTAGAAATGGCATCTTTATGCCTAAGCAAACACTTTGTTTGTTGTTTTAAAGGATTCAGTTAGCAGG